AATCCTCTGATACTTCGGTCCCGGTGACAAGGAGCAGCTTCTGAACGCAGTCTAACGTTGGTTTGGTTTCTCTGAGACTGACAGACTGAGAGTTCAGCATCAATATAATCCGTATAGATAAAGTGTATTCTGATCAGTCTGATCAATAAAGAGAAGTGTTAGAGTGCTGCTGGTTTAGAGCTGAGACTGTATTTCACTTTGTTCTGAGTTTTATTGTTATATTTGTGAAAGCATTGAAGAGTCTTTCATTGTGTCGTTACTGAGACAACATGAGCAGGTAATGAGATTATGTTGGAAATGAGTGACAGCTAATGATACGTTACTAACACTGCCAACAGTGGAGGGGAGTCGGGTGTCGCCGGGCGTCGCCAGGCGCCGCCGGGCAGCGTGCCTCCCTCCGTTCTCCCAACAATGCGCCCCGCACTCGCCCGCTGACATCACCGGCTCCCGGCCCTCTGATTGGCTGTGTGAGGGGTCACGAGACGCTCAGGAGAGGTCAGTGTGTGTGGGGGAGTGTGCCGTCGCTGAAGCGTTGTAAATGTGTTTGTTGTGTTTGGACAAAGCGTTCTTACTGGTCAGTGAGGTGTAAAGAGAGAGATCTGATACTTCCTCCTCAAAGTGTGTGTGTGTGTGTGTGTGTGTCACCTGTATATTATAATTAAGTCTCATACTTTGTCCTACAGAAATGTGAGGATATTAGTGTGAATGTGCTCCACCAAACCAAAGTCCACTGATACCCTTTTCCTGGACATTAAACACACTTTACGTTGATAAAGAGCAGCAACCGTAGACCTTTTGAACGGTTCCGGTTCCAAATGAACGCTGCAAAAACTTCTGGCAACAAGCCAAATATTGGCAGGTAGTTGTGAATCAAACATGTAAAGTTTGGTGCTGAATGGAGAACTTACACTAAAGTCAGGGCTAGGGTTCCTTTGTCATGGCGACAGGCATTTTTGACGCAATGTCACAGAGACGCCGTTTGACGAAACCTCACGATTTTGGTACGTTTTCATGGTGAACAG